CAATGAAGAAGAGGTTGGAAAGGAAAAAAAGAAAAAAAAAAGAAAGAAGGCGTAGACGAGCAGCAAGCAAAAGAGCGCAGAGAGATCTAGATCAGCAACTTGTCATGGCTGTGGCCATGCTTGATGAAGAAAACCAGAGCAGTCGTGGTTCACATGAAGGTCGTGCCCCAAATGTTGACAGACATAGGCATTCTCGGGGTAAGAATCTTATGGAAGATTATTTTATCCCAACATCTCTGTACTCTGATGTTCATTTTCGAGGGAGGTATAGAATGCAACAACATTTGTTCAATAAAATCATGCATGATATTTGCAATTATGATGAGTACTTTGTTCAAAAGAGAAATTGTGCTGGTGTTTTGGGACTGCTTCCCGAACAAAAGTTCACAGCTATTATACAAATGTTGGCGTATGGTGCATCTGCTGATCAGGTGGATGAGATTGCCCGGATGGGGAAGTCCACTGCCTTGGAGAGTTTGGTTAGATTTTGTGATGCAGTTGAAACTCTGTACACCAGGGATTACCTGCGCCAACCCACGCCCAGGGACCTGCAACGACTTTTGCAGAAAGTTGAACGGAGAAGATTTCCAGGAATGATTGGTAGCATCGATTGCATGCAATGGCAATGGAAGAATTGTCCAACTGCTTGGCAAGATGAGTACCGAAATCAGAAAGGCCAAAAAAGCATCATCATTGAAGCCGTTGCAGGTTTCGATATATAGGTCTGGCACGCCTTTTTCAGAGTTGCTGGATCTCAAAATGACTTGAACGTCCTGGGTCAATCCCCGGTGTTCAATGATGTTTTGAGAGGAGAAGCCCCAAAAATCACATATGAAGTCAATAATACCGTCTACCAAACTGGGTATTATCTAGCTGACGGGATCTACCCGAGGTGGACAACATTCGTGAAATAACTTCCGCATCCCCGAACCTAGAAGCAAAAATTATTTGCTATATATCAAGAGGGTTACAGAAAGGATGTGGAGAGGTGCTTTGGTATCCTCCAAGCTCGGTGGGCGATCATTAGGGGTGCAGCGCATATGTTTGATGAGGAGGTGTTGAGGGGCCTCATGATGACATGCATCATCCTTCATAACATGATTGTGGAGGATGAGTATGATTACGAAGCTAAAGAGGTGTACGAACCCGATCCCATGAACACGGCCTTGACCCGAATTTATGAAAAACCAATAGGGTTAAATGGAGCACCAGTGGAGCATGAACTGTTGGTTAGAGATGGTCTTTTCATGAACCGTATGATTGATCGATATACGGAGATGCAATCTTCATATATTCATGAACGCCATCAAGTTGACTTAATAGAGCATTTATGGGCGGTGAAAGGCAATGACGGTGAATGAAGTGAAGTGAAGAACATTTTTAAGATTTTAATGTTTATGTTTTATGTTTAGTTATGTTTGGTTTTTTTATGCTTTGGTTGTGGTTTGTTTGT